TCTTCGGGATTGGTCCATTTCGTTCCGGGTACCGCATGACATCAGGCCGTACCCGGAACTAAATGGAAGACTCAAATGGGCAGTGACGTATCTCCAACGAGGCGTTTTGGGGAGAGTTTTACTCGCTACAGGGTGTACTTTGAGGGTTTTGACTCTGCAGACCGTTTACATGCATAAAAACCTTCATAACACACAAGGGGACGGGTAATAACCGGAAAAGCATGACATGGGAGCTTTAATGTTCCAAACTCATATTGGTTTCTCATACAGCATCTCTGTATGTGTATTCACACTCTGTCCTAAACGGCTTGTTGGAGCTCCTGCCCCCCCCCCCCCCCCCCCCCTCCCTATGAGCCCACTGTGCTCTGATTGGTCAGCTCGCCCACTCTGTTCTGAGTCCACCACCATTACAGCGGAACATCAGTGATTATGTGTTACAATGGCGTTTGTTAGCAACCAGAAAATGACACCAGTAATGACAAACAGATGAGAATGCTGCGTGGGGTCTGGGTGCCGTGTTGGCGGGACGTTGCGGGGATCGCTGCTCCGCACTTTGAGGCTCGAGGATCGGACAGTGTGAGCTGGATTACTGGTGTCGTTTCCTGGTTGCTGCGTTGGGTCTGCGAGACAGCGAGACACTGCGGAACTCAGCCTAAGCACACACATAAACTCACAGCCAGGCTGTTCGTCACACAGATCACCACACACTCACAGCCTGAGAAAAGATAAGGCTGAGTGCCGGCGAAACTCTGCGGAGTAGCGCGGCTGAGAAAAGATAAGGCTGAGTGAGTGTGTGTGAGGAGCTCCACCAATTGGTCCATTTGGTCGTCGTTACGTCACTGTGACCAGGAAGAAAACAATGGAAAAAGAAAAATCTCCAACGAGGCGTTGTGGGGCAGCATAAACAGGTCTTTTCTGTGTTAGAGTTTTACTCGCTACAGGGTGTACTTTGAGGGTTTGTGACTTTGCAGACCGTTTACATGCATAAAAAGCTACATAACGGGGACGGGTAATAACCGGAAAAGCATGACATGGGACCTTTAAAACCCAATATACAGTCTAGATGCCTAATACAATGACATTTCACTGAGGCAAACCCAAGTATCTGTATTAATAGTGATTATAAAAGCACATGTGACTTATCGTTGAGCGTACTGTAAGATAATGGGCTAATCTTTGTACCTGTGCGTGTAATTATTTTTGGTTCACTTCACAGTGCAAAACATTTTCTACCTGCCTCTTCTTTTCAATTGAACTCTTTTGATCTATTCTGTGTTGGCGCACCTGCTCTTTTTAGATATATCTCTCCCACTCGGTCCGGTTTCTTTCTCTTACACACACACACACACACACACACACACACACACACACACACACACACACACACACACACACACACACACATACACACACAGCACACACTATCAGTTTCTCTCTCTCCTACTCTCACGAACACACACATACTTACACATCTCTCTGCTTCGCTGTGGTTGGTTTTCTCTTTCTCTGTAATTACAGGCTTCTTATCTACTTCCTATGTTATGTGCTGCAGCCAGTGGCCTCCTCCATGTTTCCTCCTCTACCATTTTAGTGTCACAGATCTTCCGCTGCTTCTCCCTAAAGGAGCCAACAAGGCAGAGACGCCCGATATGCTTTGACATGGCCGAGTTTGACAGCTTCGTGGTACAAATCCAAGTGGCACTAAATCGTAATGGCAGCTTTTGCTAGAAAGAAGCTGTTGAAATGAAATATTGCAGCGTCGTTAGGGTTGTGAGGGGGGAAGCAGGCGCAAATAAATTGTGGGCACTGCTGTTCAAAGCCCGTTGGTGAATGAGTGTGTGTCCAGGAGTTGTAAAGTTTGATTTAATTATTCATGTGGAAGCAGTAACATTGCTTCCCAAACCAGCAAATGAAACTCCATCTTGCCAAGGAACTCACACAGGTCACAGCGACCAATTACTTAATGAAAATGATCAGGTTTCCAATGCAGCCCTGGGCAGAGCGCGCTCCAAATTCCCGCAGTACTTCACGCAGCTATAAAAACAGAGACGTACCTCAGCTTTCTTCCAGTGGTTATAGGCAAAGTGTGCCACCGCTGCAGTCTTGAGGCTCATCAAAACTCCAAATGGCTGAAACAGCTTTAAGGAAAGGATAATTACTTATTAAGAATGGCTAATGTATGATGTAAAAGTTGGCTCCCTCTTCTGTCTATTTGGCTCAACCTCAACTTCTCTCTCTTGCACTAAAATGGTCTGTTTCTGTTGTTTTAGCTCAAATGTTCAATTACTTATGCAATGGAGCGTGACAGAAACAAAGACATCAAAGTTTATCCTACTACAATAAACTAATGTCTAGGTGCACATTATTGTAATCATTATGTTTTATCCATACTGGCTGTAAAGGGACCAGCACTGTAAGACAATGTCTATAGAAACAAATGCTGACTAATCATGAACCTTAGAAGATTTTCGTTGAATGAATATAGATATCGTTTTGAAAGCTCCCACATTAGAAGTTGCACAGTCTAAGCTCAACACTATGGAGCAAACCCCCCTCAGTTCAGATCGGATCAGCTGAGTCTGCAATTCTGTGTTTTAAGGATGGTCAAAAAGTTCACTTACTGACAGAGAGATAGAAAACCACCATGACCTGACAGGTCTGATTTTTAAAGTTCAGCTGAAGCAACACAATTTGAGCAGCTTCAGCACTCCGAGTCTGACTAAATTATGAAGGTTTTTTCTACATTTTTACTTATAGCCTTTTTGTAGTAACTGTTTCTAGCACTTAACTGAATTCAAACTTCCAAACCAAAGGCGTGCTCAGACCTTTCTTGTAAATAACTAATGCATCTAGAAAAAGCAATACAAAAATAATCAACACTAGAAATCGTTGTTTTATGACCAAAACGACCAAATACTTGACTTGTCGACGAAGAGGGTCCTCATTTTTAATTATTTGTTTTTCGTATCAACAAGGAAACATTGTCGAGGGAAACCTAAAGGCAGGATGTGGATTTTCATCCTCCACATGGCCAGAATTGTTACTACGCAAGGAAAAGTACTTGAAGTGGTTACCGGTTATAAATACCTTGGTATCTGGCTTGATGATTGTGTCTCTTTTAAACCTCAGCTCAATAATCTGCTTAGAAAGCTAAGGGTGAAGCTAGGTTTCTTTTTCAGAAACAAGTCCTGTTTCTCGCTTGAGGCCAGGAAAAGGCTAGTCTCTGTGACCTTTTTATCTGTGCTGGACTATGGTGATTTGATATATATATGAATGCACCTGATCAAGTTAGATACCGCCTATCACAGTGCGCTGAGATTTGTTACAAACTGTAAAGCACTTACTCATCACTGTACCCTGTATAGGGCAAGTCTGCCTTCACTTGTTTGGAGACTCAGTCATTGGTACATGGCTGAGTACATGGTTCATATATAAAGCCATGTTGGGTAAACTACCACCTTATATCTGCTCACTGATATCACAGAGAGTCGCAAGTAGCTATTGCCTAAGATCCCAGGATGTGTTTTTATTACATGTATCAAGTGCTAGGACTGTTTTAGGCACTAAAGATTTTATGTGCGCAGCTCCTCTAGCTTGGAACACTCTGCAAAACATTTTTAAAATGAGCATTTTGGTTCCCCTGCATCATTTTAAAGCACAGCTGGATGAAATGATATGTGATACTCCTGGTACCTGTCATTGTGAATAAGTTTGTAAATTGTTCCCCTGTCATTATGTTGTATGTGTCCTTTTGTTTTCTGTTGTATTTCTGTTACATGTGCAACCAATGTGCGGCAGGTCTCCCTTGTAAAAGAGATCGTTGATCTCAATGGGATTTTTACCTGGATAAATAAAGGCTACAAACAAGTATCGACAGAAGGAATATAGCCACCAATTACTTGTTCAATTATGGGCATTTTTGTATTGTTTTGTTATAAAAAGAGACTTGAAAAAAACACTAGATGTATCCTTTAATCCAAATTCTATGTTATAACATTTCTAATTTCAGCTGAGATGAATTTCTGGCCGATGTGTGCTGGACATCTGTCCATCCTCTGGCTACTTGACTCAACGACAGAAGCTATTTTAGTGATGCTCGTCCTAAATCCTTCAGCACCACGGACAGCAGCGTCTGCGCCTCTCTCTCCCTCTCTCTCTCCCTGTCTCTCTCTCTGTCTCCATCTAGCCGGCTTCCTCTCCGCTGTGACAGTGAAGCCCTCACCATGTTATTCTGAGAGCATGCAACAGCAGCGGCTCGCACACAGCATGCTGCAGGCTCTGAATGCAGAATATATATTCATATTTCTGCCTGGTATTACAAAACCAGTCATATTTCGCTAAATTATAAAAAAGAAAACATACACACTGCAGTGCTCAGGCTGTAACATGAGGTAATCGTAACAGTTTGATGCGTGTCTGTGGGCCAACAAGTGGAAATGAGTTTCAGTTGGAGACACCAAGAGTGGGTTTATTGTCTCGCATGATTTTTGCAAAAACACTTAATGCACATTACACTACAAGGGAATCACTTGTGGAGCTAATCATAAAGCAAAGTGTTCAGGGTTTATCTAAGATGAGAAAAATGTTTGACAGGCCTGTGGATCTGCTTGGGTGACGTAGCAGCAAAAATAATTTCTTATAATGCAGGGTGGTTATGGCAACATTGACAAAGTCGATCTATTGGTTCCACAGGATTACAATGATCGAACATGTGAGTGAGATTTAAACACCTTTCTACATCTCAATAATCCCATTCTTGTAATATCCTTACAGCCTTAAGGAGTGATCGATCCGCTGCAACCTGTGCGCATAGCAAGCAATGGACCGATATTCAGGCGAAGGCGGTGTTTTGGCTGTACGGTGACGTTTTAAGGCAGGTCCTGGTCAAACCTACCAATGATACAAGTCTGTTCTATTCTGCTGGGACTGATCGCAATGAACTGGTGTCGGAGCTCTGCACGGCAAAGGAGCAACCACAGCGAGACGCGGCGATCAAGGGGATGCGGCATCGGTACGCGGGAGCTGTCCATCAGCACCAAATCCCCGACGAAAAGCAAGCAAGCAACAAGCCGAGCCCAGACCCACTCGCTCCTGTTTTCAACCTGCCGCCCCCGCCCTCTTCTCACCACCGAGATCGTACTTCGACCACCGCCGTTCATCGCCAGAGCCTCCAGGAGCTCCCCTGTCTGAGCCAGCCCTCCGGGAGACCTGTGCACAGCGGCGACCCTCTACCTCTGACGAGCTACGACACCGCCCAGCGACCTTCACACCGAACCATTGAACCCAGCACCGGGCAGCCGGCGCACCTGCAGCAGGATCCCTGGGCCCCGGCCGGCTCTGAGCAGCAGCAGCCGCCGCCGCAGTCGGAGAAGCAGCCTGTTTTTCCCAGCTGCCACTGCAGTTTTTCCGAGCAGGAGGCGAGCCTTTCACAAAATCATCACCATCCAGCCGATCCTCTCCCACCGCAGCCCTCCCCACCTTTTCCGCCGCCTAAACTACCACCGCCACCTAAACTACCACCGCCACCAACGTCGTCGTCCTCCTCCTTTTCCCGGGAATCTAAAAGGGGGGATCGTATCCAAAGGAGTGCCAATAATTACCAACAGGCAAGCATCGTGGAACGCTGCAGGGGAGGAGGAGGAGCAGGAGGGCACCGAGACCACAGGCAGTTGTTGCAGCAACAGCAGCAGCAGCAGCAACAGTATCAACAGCACAGTCATTTAAGACTCCAACAGAGGGACCCCTCCCCTGAAGGAAGCCGTGCAAACTCGCAGAAAGGGCGCTCTTTAAATGTATGTGAGTCAACCGAGGCTAACAAGAGAGCATTCGAGTCTCAGACTCCGGACCTGCAGCAGCAACAGATCCCACAATTACGAGCGCAGCAACAGCTACTGGTGGGGAGCAGCTTGCCTATCAACTACTGCGCCAGCGGCTCAGGAGAGCTATGTAGGACTCACCAGGCTCCACTGCTGCAACAGCAAGAGCAGCAAGAGCAGCAGCAGCAGCAGCAGCAGCGGCAGCAAGGCGCACTGGGGCTCTGTCCCCAGCGTCCGCAGCACTGTGAACAAGACCGCAATAAGTCTGGGAGGATCACCGCGCCAGGCGACCAGGCGCAGCTTCACAGCCGCGACTCCCGCGTCACCCCCCCGGTAACACAACAGGCGTACGCGGGGAACTCGTCTGCGACTGGCAGCAACAGCAGCAAAGACAGCCCCAACTACGGCTCGAGCTATCACCTGTGGCCCGAGAGTCCGCATAAAGGAGAGGAGCGGATCAGCATCGACCTCCATAAGGTAGGTTTTTTTCACATTAATCTCCATTCATATCGGAGCTTATTATCCTCTTATGACAAAAACAAACTGGCCTTAACGTGTTCACTCAATGACCACGCCTGTCATATGATTTTGTTACAGAACATTCGCCAATGTGTACGGTGTGCACGCGCATGTGTATGTATGTACGGGAGGGGGGGCTGGGGGGTGGAAGGCATTTGAATCGTCATTCAGTGTTAGGTAGCTTTTCCAAAACCCACCGATGTTAACTACCGCACATGTAACCTTATACGTGATGCATATCTTATCTAACCTGGTATTTGTTTCATTTGGTCACACAAGCACGCGCTTGCAAACGGCATCGCGAACGCACAAACACGCGCACACACACCTGTTCCATGTTGCAGTGTTGTTTTGGGTAACCCACTGTAAAATAATGATGCTCCCAAGCAGCTGAATTAGAAACAAAGCGTGTGTTGTTTCCACAGAACCGAGGGGTTTCTGAGCAGGGGCATTTCAGGATTCTGACTTCCAGACACAGCGTTAGCTTTATATCATGTAGGCCTGTATCTGTCAGCAGCTCCTAGCAAGGCAGTGTTTAACATACTAAAAAAAAACACTTTCAATAAAGGTGTATGAGATGTATGTAACAGGTCAACACTATAATATGTACAGTAAAATAAATAATTAAAGTTAAGGCATCAACCTTAAAGGATTTAGAGCATCAGGCTAAACAAATGACGGCAAGAAAATCAAGAGTAAAAACATGTCAAATAATAATAAAACAGACGATTATTGGAAGATAAAACCTGGTAAAAACAAGTTTAAATGTTCCTGCAGTAATAGGTTAGATGAAACTGCAGTAACAAGTGGGAATCTGGGGATCAGTCTGTATGATTGACAAAAAAAAGAATACTAAGAGTTTAAAGTATTATGATTCAATTTAAGTAAAATCTATGTCTAGTTATCATGTAGATTATCTGGCAGTACAAAGGTTGCTATCCATTAATCCTCACTGTGACATGCAGAAAACTCAAATGAAAAATCATTCTCATCTACATTTTTCAATATGTTGTCGATAAATACATGCGTTGAATGTCCTCTCTGGCTGCTACGTGTTTTGGCCCTTGCAGAGAGCAATATAAAAAAAGTCCAACTGGAAGACGTTGAAGTAAATTGTTTTTTATTCTAGCTGCTAAAAAATTTGCTACGTTGTTTTCTACATACGACCAAGTTGTCTTCCCTGAAAAATCTGGTTGACCAAACATGGTTAATAATTGATCAGACCAACAGACATATGGACATTTTAGCAGACTTGATTGTGAAAGATATCGTACGAGTGCCAGATTCGTCCCCACCGTTGTATAGTTTGTCCTCCCCCAGCATTTCCTCAAGGTGCAGGTGATGTGGAGTTTTTATATCGCAGGATAGGAAAGGGAAAGCAACGGGTGGCCCTGATGAGGGTGTATCATCTAAATAACAACACCACCCTCCTTCTTAAAATGCTGCTGTTGTTTTCAGGGGCTTAGCTGGCTCCAGTAGCAAAAGGTGGTACATTGAACCACCTTGACATGACTGTTCTTACCTCAATTTTGGAGCTTCAGCAGAATGCTGAAATGACTGAAGAGAAAGTAAACTTTTTTTCTTGAAGTTGCAACCAACCTTTTTCCAAGTGAAAATCACAGGGTGTTTTCCTGATAGGGAAGCAAAACCCAATAAATGAAATGGTGAATTATGAATAGTGCAACATGTTTTCCTAATGGTAAGAAAACGGGAACCAGTTTGTGTTTTAACATCATATAAGAACTATGCATGCCAAAGCTTCATTTTGATAATCTGCTCTGCACTGCATTGTTGAGGCCATCATTTGAATAATGTTTTGACATCATTATACCAAATACTGGCGTATAAAGCCCATATTGTACTAATTATAGAGTAAAACATCAGTAAAAAGAGTCTTTGGTAAGTGGTATAATAGACCCAGTGAAAACTCATTACTGTTTAAAACAGCTGGGATTTTAACAAGCTGCAGGGCCGTTATGTCTCTTAAATCCATTCTGATTATAATACTGGGAGATTTATTTTGTCTTTTCTAAACTGATCCTGTCTGTGTCTGATAGCCTTGGCCACAAAAAAGTAAAAACATGGTCAGTATGCAGCAGGATAGGATATCATGAGTTATAGCTAATAGATGATAAAAATCAAACTGCTGTTATAGCAAAAGTGTTTCAATTATCTTTTCTGTTTGCTGCTTTCCAGCACGTAATTCCCTCTGTAAACAAGACATTTATTTATTACACAACTATTACATAATCCAATTTCCACTGCAAATCAGAAAAATCTTAGAAGTACTCCCAGGACAGACTCTTAAGTATCAAACCTTTTTCCCTCGCTCAGATCTGACCATGCCAAGTATTTTGATATGGCCAGACACTCTTATCTATTCACGGATATTCGTGGGATCGTGGTTACATCTTATTGACTCGCCCACAATGAGACAGCCCGTGCCCCCGTCCCCATTTGAAATCCCTTAAACAAAACACTTGTGACCGAACAAGCCCGATAAAGTGTATACGATTACAGTATCCCGCAGCACACCCTGAAACTGGACACCCAGCCCACTGAACCGACGGCAGGTAGTACGATATTGTGTCCTGCCTCAATAACATCGTGCTTTGAAAGGTGCATTGCTGCTTCTTTTGTGATAGGCTGTGTAAGTACTCTAATGCCTTCCACTTACTGCTATGGTGATATCTCCTGCAGTGACAGTGTTGTACATAAACACAGGATGTGGATTTTCTTTCGTTTAACAAGGCGGAATTTAGAGGATAGGCGGATGTCTCCTCTAGCGGATGCTTGTGATTAACCACTTAACAGGTGGTCAGATTTAGTGCCGTTTAAGGCCCAAAATAAAGCGGTTTTCCTGAAAATAATTCAAATGCCTGCAAATATTGAAAGGACAGAAAATCCACTATTAAAAAGGAATTGCATGCCCTTCTGTTGCTTGCTTGTATTTTGTATCATGTGTTTATATTTATGTAGCTTATTCAACAATCAGAATAACGTTAATTTACCAAATAGGATTGTCCTTACAAATAATTCTGCCTTGGCGTTTGTTTGAATAAATAAACATATTAGAAGGACATAAAACATGCAAGGGAAGAACTAGGTCATATATAAAATAAAGGAAATATGTGCAGTAGGGGGTTTCAGGGGGGGCATTTGTTTGAGACTGGGCATGGGGAATCCTTCCTGGTACGTTTTCCGTGGCTTAATGGACCCATATTGTAGTGCTGCAGCTAACAACTCATATCATTATCAATTTTTCTGTTGATTATTTGTAACTACTAAAATAAATCTACCTTCAATATATGCTGGTTCATTTCTCTATCGATGGATTAATAATTTTGGTTTGTTCATTGTAAATAATATCTGTTAATTTTCCAAAGCCAAATTAGATTTTCCTCAAATAGCTATTTGTATTTCTTCAACAGTTAGAGAGCCAAAGATAATGGACAAATTGTACATGTACGACAAGTAAAAACAAGAAATTCTCACAAACTGTGTATCTCTGCTGCATGGTCACCATTTACTTATTGTCATGCAAGTCCCATCTATCGTTACATATCAAATGAAGAAAATCAGATCATGGGTCAAAAGAAGAAAAAACATTCATAGCCTGGCGCCGTCTCTCTCCTCTCCTGTCACATCACCCGTGTGTGTGTGTGTGTGTGTTGTGTGTGTGTGTGTGTTGTGTTGTGTTGTGTGTGTGTGTGTGTGTGTGTGTGTGTGTGTGTGTGTGTGTGTGTGTGTGTGTGTGTGTGTGTGTGTGTGTGTGTGTGTGTGTGTGTGTGTGTGTGGTGTGTGTGTGTGTGTGTGTGTGTGTGTGTGTGTGTGTGTGTGTGTGTGTGTGTGTGTGTGTGTGTGTGTGTGTGTGTGTGTGTGTGTGTGTGTGTGTGTGTGGCGAGGGCCAGCCAGCCAACCTTTCTGCAGAACATAAGGTTGTATGTCTCACTGCAGAATGGCTGCTCAAAAGAGGAGGAAAGCTTTTACTGTAAAGCTTTTTGTGTGGATCCTGCTAAACGTCAGTCCAACACGTGTATAATCAGGCTATATGATCTGGGAAAGGTCAACAGAGGGTGCATCAAAGTGGCACTTTCAGCCAACTTAGTGTCACTTTGACGCTGTCTGGAGGATTTACTGGGGTCATGTTTACTGGTGGTTGTGTGTAGAGCTTTGGAAAGTGGAAAGGGAATGGTTTGGTTGTTTGGCAAGTATTTTCTGTAAAGAAGGAAAACATGTTCTGTTTTTTCTCCATTAAAGTGTCAGTATTTCCAGTTTTTGCTTCTCACTGTTCAGATTTTCCAATAACTAAGACCATTTATTTCAAGTAAATACCAGAAGACTTATGTGTTTTTCCCTCTCGTCTAAATTAAGGAAAACGCTGAGGTAATTGTGCTGCCGGCCCTCTTTAAAAAAAGCAGTTAATCTTATCAGCGGTGTGTTTATGTTGGCTTCGCAATTACGCTGATGTAAAGCTGAACGCTCGGGCCTCTGAACAATTGATGTCGACAGATCTGCTTTCAGCCTTGTGATTTACCAGCGAGCTTATGCCAGAAGAACCATTATGTTGATTTAAACTTTCTATCGGTCATTTCTCCGCTGTTGTTACAGGGCCCTGAGTTTGTTTTTCTCTCATTAGTGTTCCATGTTTCCACTGCTTGTCTGTGTTCGAGTCTGAGAGGGCAGCCAACACCTTGAAAGTAAACACACCTCACTGAACAATTAAATGTCAAACAAGGGGCAGATCCTAGATCACATCCTCTGTATATGACGAAGGAGCGGCACTGCTGTAGATCCCTGATAACGCTCAGCATTGTGCGAGGAGAGGTAGGTGTGAGCCGTAGGAGCCTCTTAGTTTCGGCTGCAGCTGGCAACACACAGGCTGTAAGTATGAACATGAAGCTCTTTTAATAATTGATCGCTGTTTTCCCTATTTTTTTTGTCCGCTGCGTTTAAGT